TAAAATAATGGGAACAACACGTCAAATGTTTTGGAGCTAAGATTTTACAGTTTAAAGTAAGTATTTACTAGTTGAACTCTTGCGATGACACGAGACAAAAGAAAGAACTGTAGAGAATTTATTATTCAAAAATACGGCATATGTAAAATATGGATTATCGAAACCCAAAAAAATATTGTTATATGCCACTCAGTACTAATTCTCTAAGACAAATAAAATAACAGAGGTTTACAAATTCTGAAACAATACAACCACTATTCATTAAAAACACAGAATTAAAGGTGTTTCAGAAAATTTAATTGGAAAGCTTTATATTTACCCAGATCTGTACATATACGTTCTAGTGTCATATAGCAGAACACCCTTAATTATTTTCTACATCCTTAATTATTTATTGTAGAAAGATATCCTTAAATGTGATGCATGGTGAGCAGAAAGTTTCAGTTATTTTTACTAGTTTATATTGTATCTATGTGTTTCAGAATAATTGACGATGACATCGGCTATTTGATACGAAGGCATTTCAATAAGTGATCTATTATATATTACATACGTGAAGTAACAAACAACTTACAAGATTTCCGTTATTCACGTATTAATCAATATGTAATGATTCACATGTTTATGAATGGCATTCAAAGACCACTCCAACGTTCTTCAATGTGTAATATACGTAAATTCTGTAAAAAGACATGTCAAAAATGCAATTAATTAAAAAAGAAATACTAAGTAGCAAGGAGAATATACGTTTCTATCATTTTCAACCTTTAATTTCCTAAAATAATTGTATTTAATATTTACGTTCATGCATATTTCCTCTGTAAATTGAACTGTAAAGAAGGACTAAAAAATACTTTCAAGCCAGAACTCTCAATTTACGGCGACTTTACATTTATATAATTTTATTGTGCAGAAACGTGTGCAGACTATTGACGCGTAGAGGAGAATCAACGCAATTCAAATGACATTTTTCTCGATTAGGCCAACCACGGAATACACGGACGACAAATAGAAAACACCATTTAACACGCATTTGGTTGTTGAAATCCGAATTTCTTGATTCTATTTCATTACTTGCTTTTGTGAAAGAGAATCTATCAAGTCATTACCGAAAAACCTGAAATCTTGGTAGGTCTCGATCCACAATTTCTTCATTCAAAGCGCTATGATACACTTAAAATGACCACGCTAAATGTTGAACTGTCATAAACGGAGATCGCGTAAACTGAAATGTTTTAATTATAACCTGTATTATCATTAAGGAGCAATATGCTAAATTATCCACCAAATTTAAGAGATTCGCGACACGTCCAACCTCTAAAAAAAGTCAACATCACAAGACAATTGGTTTCGAAGAAATAGGGTCGGCGGAACTGGTAGATCAGTGACATCGGCATCTAAACAAGAAAGAAAACCAGATTACGCAGAAGAGCGAAATCTACTGAAGGATTCAGGTTTAGTTGAGTATATAGTAAATGCATTAAGGGAACAGGATAAATATAGAATTTGCCGTATTTCTTGCCTTGGGGTCACTACTCATAGGATTGCCGATTCTTTTCTTTCGACTCCAACTTTTACCCCCTCCTTCACTCCACTATTGTCGCGGACAGCCCCACCACTCCAGCATCATCCACAGTAGCAACCCAGTATTCAATTGGCTGAGGCGGCAGAGGATCATCAACTGACGTCACTGTAGTGCCTCTGATAGTGGCAGCATTTTCGGATCTAACTAGTTCGAATTCAGCCACTCTCTGGAAAATATTCCGTGGTGGTAGCAGATATCTTGTGGTAATCCATAATATGGTAAAGGAAATAATCTCCACAAAATGTTTAATAATTTTTATTAATTATTTTCCAGAGTTAACTTTCGGGAAAACATTTTTCCCATCCTCAGTGGATCTCTAGCAAGGAGCAGTCAGTTTTTTTAAGTCTGTGTATGACTACCCTTTCTTCTCTTCTATCCCCCCCCTTTCCCACAATTGGTAGGGTTCCTCTTCTCTCATTCCAAAATATGGCTGCCATCTAGCTGAAACCAGCAATGTTTTGCAGTTTTCATATTTTTTGACCATCTTGTGAACATTCATGGGTGATCCACGTTGCTTGGGCTGTAAGTATTTTTAGTTTGTATGTATATGGTATTATTTATTTGTTTTTTCCACTAAATTCACTGTACCCTTCCTTTTTTTGTGTTCAACTTGTGTTAATGTTTTCATTTATCCTCCTTGCTAGAGATAAACTGAGGATGGAAAAAGTGTTTTCCCGAAAGTTAACTCTGGAAAATAATTAATAAAAATGATTAAACATTTTGTGGAGATTATTTCCTTTACCATATCTCTGGAAAAGAATTCGAGCGGATGGCTCCCGTGGTTTCTCCGACTAACAACTGGCGAATGCCGGAGCAATACGCTTACAAATGGGCCACGGACCGCGCTCCATCTTTCCTTCCTCTTCCTTTTCCTATCCTCACCGCCTACTTATACATTTACACTTACAAGCACTACACTGCCACCAAATCGGAAGAGGAGTCGGTAGCTTAGAGGCTTGCTCCGGCTGGGGGATGCCCCGCTATTGAGAGACAGGTGAATGGAGAAACGCTGAAAGTCACGTGTAGGTCAGCGCCGATCTCACCATCTGAAGCGGGAAGAACACTATCGCCCCATAATTAAACATGCTACACACTTACGGGATAAACGAGCACAGCAATTGACGCGATCGAAAACATGAATAACACTAGAGAACAAAAACAAATTCATGCACCCAGGATGAAAGTAGGTGATCTCCAAGGAAACAATCATGCTGATTTTGAAAATTATTATAAAAAGTTTCTATCACGCACATGGCAATTATTTAGTATCGGAAATAAACAAAATCCTGTACTAATTTCCGAATTGTCACTCCGTTTGTATTACTACAAAATTTTATGAGCGTAATTCATATGAAGTAAGAACAAGTGAAAATTGGATTACGCATATTCGTACAATAATATGCGGACATTAAAATGGTTTGTTGGTTTTTTCCACAATATTGGTAGAGCGTATGACAATGATTTGAGTTCTCCGTACAACAACGACCTAAGGTTCGTTGTACAGGTGATAACACTGGCTCAGGGTTTATCTTGATCACAAACACTACAGCAAAAGTATAAAAAATACACAGGTTTTGTAATTCATACATTTTTTTCCTTTAAAGTTTGGGTGTAAATCTTCCACAAACGTAATAGAAGTTATCGAGTTGATTCTCACCCTTTCGGTGAGACATAACAATTTGCATTTTATCAAACCACGTAAATTCACCAGATCAAGAGGTGAATTTCACTTTATAAATACCACAGAACTGTAATATTTTAATGCATTTGAGGTACACGCAAACCAGACACGAATTTCTCGCGCACTGCGCGCACTGTTCCGCATGACACCATAAGACTCAGAATCTTCCTCCGTAACAGTTGGATACTTGTTTACTTGCGATAAGGTAAGTGTCTATAAACTAATTCCTTTCGGTGACTATAGCACAGTAGGAAATATGAGGGTGCTCGTGACTTGTTTTCAAAGCATCCACGAAGACCTATCAAAACCATTAAGAGTTGAAGTATCGTAATTGAGCGAAAGTTGACGTATTCGTAATTGAGCGCGACCACCACAGTCGAGAATAAAGACAGCAATCTTTGAATACAGAAGGTAAAAAAACAACAACGCGAAAGCCTAATTATGTTGATATCTACTGAAAGTGTCATAGATGAACTGAACAAATATTTTATTTTTAAATAGGTTTTATGAGTATTGATTTTACATAGCGTACAGGTGCAATTTAAATGTATTTGCATTAATAGCAAAATACGTATGTTACGGTATAATTATTTAAAACCTGTGACGTGCTAGAATGTTTTTATTGTGTTATTAGTAATATACGTTTAAAATTGAGTATATTTCGAACTTTATATTACTGGAGGTAAAAATATTATCCCCTTGTGTAATCAATCAACATGAAATAATCAATCAATTCATTCAGGAACAAAATAATATGGGGTCGTGATTAAAAATCGTGCATCCTTTAGATTCATTTGCTATTGCCTGAGGACAGACATAATATATATTTCTCAGCAAGCGTTGACTTTTAATTCGGTATACTTTGCTGAGAATTTAAACACTCCCTTATTCCAAAAGCACATCAACTTTCCTTCTCTTTAATCTCATTTTCATACTCCCTACACCTTTTCTACTCACACACCCAACTTGGACTGTATTTGCCAAGTTCTAATTACACTACTACTTTATATATATATATATATATATATATATATATATATATATATATATATATATATAATTATTGTTAAATGTATTATTGAAGTCGCTAAAATCACATTTGTCGTTGAAATAGAAACCTAAATACGACTGATTTCAAATAAAAAATTAAATTAAAAAAGATTGTGCGTTAAAGCTTTTACGTATTTTTTATTATAAAGGTATGAAATATACATTTACGAAAAGATTGTTTCGCTATAGTTCCACTGAAATATCGCAATTCTAATAATTAAAGTTATTGTTGTTAGGCTGTATTATTATACACCTCCCATCTCCAATTAAGGGATTAGAAATTAAATGATATAGACACATTACATATGTCAACAAAATAATAAAAATTTCATATTTTGTAAAATAGTCGTCTAATACTGATACAATACGGTTAAGGTAGTTTGAATCTTGATATGATGTAGTAATACCAGTGTCGTGATCGTTAGATTATCTTGGAAAATTTATTATTGCAGCTGAAAATTTTGTTTTTGCTGTGATGTCAATTTGTCGTTTTTCTATGGCTTAACATTGGCGCTTGAGTGAGAGACACATCCTATATGGTAAATATTCAGGAAAACAACTTGATGTCTTTTCTATTATTACACCACTGCGAAGTACACGTTTCTTCCACGCGTTGCGGCACGCGGGACAACTGTGTTACTTTGCTTCAACCGCAAGCAGCTTCCGGGAGCTTTGAGTGGGGGACGCACTACAAACAGAAGGTTCTTATAAAGAGATGAGAGTGCAGAGTACGACGAGTTCGTAGTGAACTCGTAGTGAAGGTACCATGGCCGCAAACATGAAGATCATCTTGCTCCTGGCTATTTGTGGCCTGCTTGTGTTGAATTGCGATGCAGTGAAGCCTGGAAGATGTCAACGGGTGCGGCCTGGCCAAGTTGGCATCTGCGTCTCTCGATGTCGAGTCGATGAAGACTGCGCAGGGAGAATGAAATGCTGTGGGAATGGATGTGGAACTGTTTGCCGAAATCCAGTATAATCCATTACAGGTTAGTTTTGAATTACAAGTAATTAAAAAAATAGTTTTAAATTTTCCTATTTATATTATTACCGTCGACAGTCATTGAGTAGTGTAAGTTACCGCGAGACTTGACGAAATAGCCCGCAATTCCTCAGTAAACTGTGAAACGTATTTGAGCTAGAAGATTGGCAGTTTTGATCAGGAACATGCAAGTACATAATCAGTTTTATTCAGAATTTACTTTCGTAATTGTTTGAACTAGAGTAGGGGGCGGGCACTGTTTTGCCCGCATAAGCCGTGTTCGTGAACTTGAACCGCCTCGCAAGATCACTCAAGGTCACAAGCGTAGTAATTCCTACAGGAAACATGGCTGTCAGCTCAATTATATGACAGAATAATTAGTTTTCGTATTTCACAAAAATAACTTTTATAAAATACATTTATTAAATAGAGCATGGATAAATTTGTAAATAATATGTCATAAATAAATATATACATTTTATTTATGATAATTTTAATTACTAGTTCATCTACATTTGGAACAATAGTTGAGTATTGCTTACAGTTAATAGGAGAGAACATTTTAAGTTGGGAACTGTTGGACCATTTTCTTTGACTGACTTTACTGAACTCGCAAACGCATGTGGACGGAAACAGATTATGATGTTTCCTGAAAATTTGAACAAACGTAGAAATAGTTTCTGATGGAAACTTCTATAAAGTGTAAAAAATGTGTCTGATGTTAGGTGACAATCACACCTGAGGCCACAATTGCATCTGAAAATTGTTTGTATTTTATTTCAATATCTACTACATTAGAGAAGCAAATATTGAAAATTATACCACCAATATTTTCAAATCTTAAAAAAAATTTCATTTCTTAAAAATGCAATTTTAAAATAAGAACGGTAGTATTTTTCTTCTGATTTCAATCGCCCCAATTTTGGAAAGTAGCACTTTTCATGCATACATAACGAATCGCATGTGGAGTTTCAATCAAGAAATGCAGATCAAACATTTTTACTTGTAAACACGTTCCTCACTCGTCTTTTTGTTTCAGAATATTAAGAAGACTCTGGCAAGTTATTATGATGATCCAAGAAAATCCCTTGAGTTTGAAATAAGTCAATAATGTTGAAAATTATATAATTTGTGTTCTCAATTACATACGCAACATGAAAAGAGATCACTTGCTTAACTATAAACAAGTACATTATAATTGATTTAGCTACACTTAATGAAGAAATTCATTAAGTTCTCTCTGAATGTGTACAGATTCTTGTCATTCAAAACGCTTTCAATAAATAAATATAGTATATAACTGTCGTCTCTTTTTAATTTTCATTTTTTCTTTCCTTCAACTCCCTTAAATCACGCTTATCTTCGAAGATATTTAATTTTAGACTCATTTAAGTGATACGTTTAGGAAACTTAATAGCCGAGGGCAGTGTTATTCAAACTGTGAGGCGCGCCTCTCAGGAAGCTGCAAAAGTTTCAGAGCGGAGGCGCGAGAACTTCGTAATAATTTAGTTAAATAATGTTCTAATGCTTAATAATGCTCTAATTAATTGTACATGATAATAATAGATTTGAAGCGTAGTTGTGTCGTATGTTTTTATAATTGCAGAAAGCTTTATCGGTCGCATTGCGGTTATCTTCAGAGCTACAAGAAATAATTTCCAATTACAAATAAAATAAATTACAGAATAATAAAAATTAGAATGTAAGAAAATTAGGAGATTGGAATATAAAGTGTGAAAGTGGGAAAATAATTTTGAATCAAGATTATATGAAATAAAAAATGTACCAATCTCAAGTGAACTGAAATACAAATAGACATACAAATAGATAAATAAACATGTACATCTGGCTCGCATTGAAGCTTTGAGATTTTGATAAACATTCTTTAAAATTTGAGGGTACTTTCCATGATGCTAATTTTTTCTTTAAATTTTTTGAAAGAATAGAGTAAAATACACTTATAAAGGTGGCCTTTTCTGGGTTAACTCAGAATTTTCGAAAATATGAAAAGTTTGAATTATTTTCGGCGTCTTCCTGCAACTACAAAATTAAAAATAGAAATTTTTCCTTCAAACGAAATTTCTTGGTCATAATCACCTCTTTCAATAAGGTCAGATACACTTATTTAAAAATTGTAGTAGCTTTCACGCAATATTGAGTGCAATATTTGCAATTTTTAAAACACACAAAAAAACAGGGTTTTCTCAAAAACCGCTCCAATTTTTTTATTTTTTTGTAGGAATAGTGCTAAATGTGCTCTATGAGATGACACAAACATCAGATTTCTATTTTTTGTTGTTTTAATTACAAAAATTTAATTTTGTTGACTTGTCTCTCACGTTAAATTTCATTAGCGGCGATTTGTTCACATTATATTTATGCGTACATGTGCTTCAAATAATATCAGATAAAGTTTCCCGAAAACTGAACAGTTTTCTGAGAAAATGAGCTCAAAATTCCACATTTTCAGAAACGATCAAACACCATTTTCTCATAAATAGCTCCAAATGTTTCTTAGAAATTTAGAACGGATAGTGCTAATTGACTCCTTAAAATCACAAAGTCATTTCTTGCTTTCAAAAATTACACAAATGCATTTAATTTTAAGATCTCTCACATGATTGATATGCACAGCTCCTGCAATTTGTGAACTCAATAAATTTGTGAATTAATGAGATACAAATATATTTTAATAAAGTTCATCGAAATCTCAAACATTTTTTGTGAAAAAGATCTTCAAATATCGAGTTGACAAGAGCGCCCAAACGCCATTTTCTTAAAAACGGCTCCAAACGTTTCAATGAAAATTGCCATTTAGGATGAGGTTTTTCTGTTCTTTAATATTCTTAAAATAATATGTCTGTTCTACTATTTGTTAAATGAAAAATTAAATAAAATTAATACTTTGGGAAGCGATAGATGGCAGCTGGCAACAGTACGTGGCAAGTCCGAACAGCTAGCTGAGACCAAAGGAAATACAAAACTAATACGGGAAAGTCTGTGCCATTCTTTAGTACCACTGGTTCATGCATTCATCATTGTCCACGCAATCATATAAATCTCTATAACTAAACCGTTACATCAGAATTAAAGGAAAAAATGAATTATGAAACTAAAGTTATGAGAAAATAAAATGTAGGAGATAGATTGTTAGTGTAAGGCGTCTCTTTCTCGAGTAAGCATCTGGGGGTAATCAGTAGCATAATTCATGGACGATACTACTGCAAATAACCAAACCCATGTAAACAAAAATATTTTCTTGATGGAGTACACGGCCACAAAAAGAAAAAAAAAATGTCCTTCTACTCGAGAGGAAGTTTACAGTGGTTATTTAACACTGATAAGTGAACAAATAATAATGTGTAACTATTAAACCAGCCTAAATTCACTATCTACACTTCAATTTATGTACAGATTGCACACCACTCATTTTTGAGGACTATATTGACACTGAATCATGGTCTCTCTTTCTTCGAGTATAGCTCCCGACCCACCTCATGTGGTATGAAGCCTATCAAATGTGCACATTCAAATGTGCAGTTGTCTATGAAGTGTGCTGTTCAAATGTGCATCCGTAACTCTTTGAATAGTCAGGTGATGTAACGTCAGCAATTGTTCAGAAGCAACGCCATGTGTCCAGCTCAATGGGATCAGCGAGGTTGATTGTATGATTTGTAAGACTGACGAGCCCCAGCGAAAAGTGATATGTCATTAAACAATGAATGGAGTAAGTACACTTATATATCTTTTATCTGGACAAAAGCTAGTGAAAAAATTATATCGTAATTTCCTATAAAAATGTAATGGTACTTAAATACACACTGGTTTATACCACTTTTCACAGATTTTTTTATTCAACCCACAAATTCAATATTTATTATTACTTAATTAATCTCTCACAAAACAATTCGAAAATTGTCTCATGAATAGTTAGAGCTAGTCAGAGCTAACGGGACAAATATGATCAGAAATGTTATTTTCCAGAAATCAGGAACGTTAATCCTTCTACAAAACCGGCCTTCTCGTAATGGTAACAAATAAACCAAAAACGTTTATCGCGTACATATTTATACAAAATAAAGGGTTGCAATGTATGCAACATTAAATAAAGATCTTTTCTATAGCATTTAGTGAAAACCAGAGCATCTAGATGAATACGTTCAAAAGATATAACATACATGAGAGACTCATATGAGAATCAAAATGATTGTCATATTAAAGTATGCAAATGAATGTAGAAGAAAATATCAAGAAATATGTTAAAGAAGTTATTTCACAATGGATAATATATTGCACTTTATTCACAATACAATACGTTCTTAGAAAATGTTAAAATCCCCAAAACGTCAAAAATTCAGAATTTCACTTTGTCCCCTCGTAAATCTCAGAAAATACGCCTCCGGCGCCGGTGGAGTCTTTGGAACCTCTGTGCAGTGTAGAGGTTCCCGCTCCCCGGCGAGAGCGCGGCGCCCGCCTCTAAAGCCTGTTTTACACGATAATTTTTTCATCATTTTTCGCCTGTACGGAAGAGTGACAGACCACACTGGATGTAATTTGTACGAAAAAATGACACATACTTCATTTTTCAGTACAGATTTCATCCTGTTTGACTACCGCGCTCCTGGCGTCACTTTTCGGAACTTTCTCTGATTTGTCTTGCGTGTGGTTTTGAAGTTTTTGAGAGCGTTCTGAAGTGTTGAATTGTAATGTGTTGTGATTATGTAGTGAGAAATAAATCATGTACTGTGTTTTAATGTCACCGCGTTCCCTGCTCAGTCCAAATATAACAAAATTTCATTTGTTACCATACGATGTTCAAATGTTTGATCTTCTGCGCTTTTTGCGGCGTCCGGAGGAAGTATTTTCTTCACGATTACGCGCAAAGTCAGAAATGACCGTGTAAAACGCTGGAATCACTCTCATTTAGTTTCGGCACCGAAACATAACGCGTAGAAACGAAAGTCCTTTTTCCATCCACTTTCTGTACAGAAAAATGATGAAAAAAGG